ATGTAAATTTCCATTATCAGTATTGAGTTTTACTGATTACCAGAGTTGCTAGAAAGAATCGCGATAACATTCTCTATCACATCTATCACATTATGCATAATTACCTTGTAGTTCACGTCTCTACATATCGAGATCAAATATCAGATCGTTCTTAAATTCCAAGTGAACTGCATCTTTCGTGGTTTTAATCGAGATATCGGTTTGAACATCTTCGGTGGGTTTTTCCTCGAAGCTAGAATTACGCTTATGTAAAGAATGTTTGTCATCAGCATTCGATTTCACGATTTCAATATTGGCGGTTCTTTGTTGTTGCGAATCTCGTTTATCTCGTGCAAGTATGGGTTTTACGTTCTCGGAAGTTTCCTCATTCGGAGACCGCTTATAATCTACTTTATATTTGTCACGTTCTTCGGTTTCAGAATTTTCACTTTCGCTTAGTCGGCGATCATGCGCGCGTTTCTTATTGCGCAGTTTACGTTGGTTCTTCTTTCGCTGTCCAAGAATACTCGAATTAGATCTAAAGAAAAGAAAATAATAAATTATGCGAATGAGTTCATTAATATATCACTTGTAAAAGAAAAAAAAAACTATATTTATATTTTTTTTCTCTTAAGATTTTACCATTTCCGATTAGCTTGATCAGTCGATTAATGCCCGTTTCTACTAATGTAGTTTAATTTTAATCTCAGTTTAATTCTTCATTTTTTTTTAGTTTTAAAAATCAGAAAAAGATGAAGATGAAAATTAAATCGAAATAAAAACTAGTTTCAACTATAATTGGTCATTTCTGTTTAACGACAAATGTGATTGATCAGTTTCAATGAAATAATCGGCCGATTAAGTTAATAGGAAACGGTGAAACCTTTAAAAAGCTAATTGATCCCTATTATAGTACCTAAATAACTGCCGTGAAACAACATCATTAAATCGTACAGTCTTTTTCAAACTGGAACAATCTGATTCAGAATTGATATCATGTATGGAATCGTAATGATCATCATGATAATCTGTGCATGATGCAGGTAGACTGTTTTCGTCGGCACTCGATTCGGACATGGAACGTGAAAAATCGCGGGCGCGACGTGACTTTAATATTCCTTTCGAATGTCTCACACTGCTATTGCTGCTATTGCTTGCCAATTCATCTCCACTGCTTTCTGAAACTGATCTGACTTTCTCAATGTGCTTTTTCTCTTGTCGCCGTTTCACAACTCTTGCATTTTCCTCATACTCCTCTTCGTCATCAGAATCCTGCTGATTTGGATGAATATTTATGACAACACCATCATCTTGCGGCTGTACGGAGATTTGCCTTTCTACCTGAGATTCAGCTTTCGGAGAGAACTGTAAAAATATTTTACTTGTTATAGATAATGTATAACATTCTACATTTTAAAGTGTGCAATATATTTATAATATTTTTACCATTAATTCTTTAAATTTGCTCGTAAATGACGCTGCTGTAGGAAGATCTTTTCCTTCCATGAATTCTGTATCCACTCCAACAAAATATTGTGTTATATTCTCAATATCTTTCACTGTGATGTTAAAAACAACGTTATTGTCCCATGGTTCAATTGTAAGAGTTTCTGGTTCGATATAGCCGTTTCCTATCTTAAGACACAATGAATAATGTTGCGGAAAAAATCCAGCACCCATAGATGTTAGCAAGATATGTATTCCTACATTATTATTTAAAATTTTGTGGTGAATTGCATCCGGATTTACGTTTTTTACATTTATAATAATGGCTAATTGATTATTGTAAATATTACAAGTATAAGCAGGCAGATTATACTTAAAACTAGGATTCATAAATACATCAGTGATTTCTGTTTCATTACTAGTCCGTAAGGCAGTATCTTCACATTTATCTGTTACTTCACTTTCTTTATTAAATTTTATATTTTTGCACGCGTTTTCGCACTCTTCCACTAATTCTATTTTGTTACTAGACAAATTTTTTTCGTTATCCTTGGATGTTACTATTGCAGCACTGTTTTGATCACTGTCAACTCCACTATCTGCTCTATCAGTATCACCTACTGGTACCAATGACCGAATGACTGGTAAAGTTACAATTAATTTTTTGTACCTTGGATCAAATTTAGCACTCCCACTATCTCCGTCTACGGGATATGGTAATGGAAGATCCAGCAAATATTTTGCAGGCTTTTCACTTTTCAGGGTAAGAGATTGTTCATGTACATCGAGCGTTGCGTCGTTAGCGCTTTTCAACAAGGGCAAATTTATGGTAATCACCAATTTTTTAGGAATTGCGGCAAACATCTTTGCGTCTCGGCTTAAAACAAAATCTTCCATTTCCACATCGGACTGATGTTTTATGGAAAATTTAGGCGCAACATATTTTTCATCTACAGGTTTCTGTTGCTTGTCCTTATAATAAGTGGTGGCTGGTGGGGCACGTTTCGGCTTTTCTTCCGTCTGCTTTAATTGGCTCTCCCGACTTTCGTCGTAACTCGACATTATCTTCTGGTAGATTTCTGGTTCTATGTCCAATGGTTCTGTCGGTGATGTTTCCAAAGGTTTTCTGATCACTGTAGGATGAGCCATCCCTTTGAAGTTAATTTTAGGAAATTTCAGATTCTTCCTGTCCAATTTCACCTAGCAAGACATAGAGAATACATATTAGAAATAGGTATTACAAAAATAAAATTAGGCGTGTCCTTTCCAACTGATTCTTTTGCACGGTTCATATTTCTTCTCCATTTTAGAGAAAAAAAAGGACAACACAAATAGTTCAGCTAATGCTCATTTCTATCAACGTAAACTTTAACCTCAGTTTAATTTACTTTAATCTTACTCTTATCTTTTTCTAGTTTTAAAAATTATAAAGATAAAGAGTAAGTTGAAGCGAGATTAAAGTTAATCTATTTGACAGAAATGAGCATTAAAAGAATAGATTGGAGCATAAGCTAATAAATGTATTTGGCCACTCGCATTATACTGGATCAGCCCATTGAAGGCTGCTTTATATAAAGTATCTAAATACAATGGCATAATAATATAATTAACTTTAACAATGAAATAATGTACATTCTGCTAAATAATGACAATATCATTATTAGGTATTTAATCATTTAAAATAATGTTTATGTTTAATTCCTTTTACATTTAACTCCTAATTTCATATATATAGAAACTTTCAGGGTGCTACTAATCTAGTGTAATGCAAATGACCGAATTCGTTATTGGAGTTATGAACCTTAAAATTATTTTCCACGCCATCCATAGCCGTGTTATTGACGATCTCGCGGAACCGCGCGTTCTTGGATGCCAAGTAGATGGTGTCCGGATGGAAGACCACGTCATACACCACACACCGCACATTCTTCTTGTCAAGGTCATAGCGGGGTGGTATCAACGTATACGGAATAGACCACTGTAGGCCACGGTGGCCCTGTTCGTAGGAAGGCTGACTGGTGGGACGCGCGACAACGTCGTTCTTACTGATGTTCAAAAAACACTTCCTGTCGCCGTTCACGCTGGTCTTAATGACGTAACCGGGCTCGGGGTTAACGAACGTCACGTCTACGCCCCGCTCCTTCTCGAGCTGGGTGATCTCTTTCTCGTAGAGTTTCCTGTTATCCGGGTCGGCCACGTCCTCCGCGTACTCGATTAACAGCTTGCGAAACTCCTCTTTCTTCAGACAGTCGGTTATGTCTTTCAACTCCTCTCGCGACACATTGAAATCCTCCCAATCTTTTCTGCGGTGCTCGTATACGTCCATCTTATGTCGCGCGTGTTTACAAATAGACCCGTCGGTAGAAAGATCACGAAGAGCGCACAACACGTGGATCGCGGCGCCACCGCACCGGCCGGTCTCTGCACCGGCTTGCCCGATGCGCCCGTTCGATCACACTATAAAGTTTCGTTCAAACGCGCGACTACGTTCTATCGTTCTATCGTTCTATCGCCGACGAATTCTTTCTCGCTTCCCAGATAGACAAATCTGTCGGAAACAGATTTTCCAAGGTGTCTGCTATCGACAAATTTCGGCACAATGCAAAATGCGGAAATATAATGAGGTCTGTTAACGGAATATGATTGACAGATTGACAGAAATTGAACCCGAATCCATCATTTCGTAATCATAAATGGTATCTTTTATTTAAACCCTTTCAAAATTCTCTCTCTGACAGATTCTGTTTGATAATTTCTACTCTCGACCGGATCATGTTGACTTAATTGCTGGTAAAACATTGATGCTAATCTGCTGTGATAAATCTGCCAATATACTTATTTGTTGACGTGTCTTACAGGATTGCTTATCAGATTCTTCGATGACTAATTTAATTGATAAAATAGTTCAAGTATTTAAAATTCAAAATATTCAATTGTAATTTATTTAATTCCCTAATTAAACCTTTCTTTTAATATTAATAAAGAAAAATAATTAACTAAAAATAATTAACTATCCTATTCATATTAAACATAAAATAGTATAGGCACCTACTGTCTAAATTCTCTAAATTCTTTGGAGTGAAATTTCACTTTAAAGAGAGAGAGAGAAAATAACCCAGTTTTGAAAAAAGGCTCAATTTTCAAATTTTAAAGTGAATTTTTCAACTTTTAATATGAATTTTATTCTTCAGAGATTTACTTTAAAAGCTTTAAAGAGTAATAAAATTAATGATCGGTTATGACGATCACCCTTAGGACAACTTCGATTAATTTAATTGGTAATTAAAATTTATCAATCAATACTACTTGTATTATTTCATTATAATATAAATAATTAATTCTTTTTCGTTTAATACGTGAAAAGAAGATGTAAAGTAATATAATGTAATTCGAAATTTTGTTGTAAACAATTTTGCCGATTAAATTAATCGCTGATTAATATTAAATTTAATTGCACACGTGCGCACTGGCGCACATTAAAACCGCTCTACACGGATTAATGTAAAAACGTGTGTTTAAACGTAGAAACGAATTAAATGGCAAAATCATCAATATATTTTATTGGGTCATTAGGTAAAATATGTATTTTATAATTCGAAATATTCGTACATTTAGATTAAATCAGTATACAACGGCTTTAATATCCACAGTTTGCGTCACTATTGCGTCCAACTGAACTCGCTGTGAGTTCCGGGTTCGGTTGAAGTTGCTCTTAGAGATTAGTCATACAGAGTGATATGCAAACGCGACCGCCCGTTGCAATATGCATTGGAAAGTGAAATGTTGCGTTTCACCCAATCAACCGATCGGTGGGGGTCGTAGGCTGTGGCGAAGATGTAGGGATCACGCTGTTTATGGGTGCCTGACCCACTAACATTCTCCTCAGTTACTCGGTAACGGCCTCGATAATCCATAGAGTATCTCTCGGTAAAAGAACGTGTGAAATTACATCAGTATTATACACACATTTGATAATTTAATAATAAAAAAAAGATGCGTCGAAATCGCGGTCTCCTGTTATCGCTTTCGACGTGTCTGACGATAGTCTTCGTCGTTCTGAATACGCGATCATCCACAGAATTACTCGGGTCCGCGATTACCACCGAGAAACGCAGCGTGTTGAAGAAACAGGAAGTGTCACGTGCCGATGATCGATGGATTACTCGTAGTCAGGTGAAGACCAATGCATATATCATGCTTATTATACCTAAATAAAACTCCGCGTCAATTATAACTAAATAGGTATATCAATTTAGCGTCAACTGGAAAACTTCGCGTTTCTCAGAATATCTCTCGCTTGAATCTTGATTCGAGTTTAATTGTATATTCTCCAAGTGTGTATATCAAATTGAAGCACGTGCTGCGGAACGTATCATCGTTTAATTCTGTATTTAATTAGTGAGCGGCAGATGCAGTCTCAAAGTAATGCACCGAGATGACTGCCTGTGCTTGCGCAATGGAGAATGCATTCCACGAGCATGAGATGTGCACGATGAAGCAAAAGCGCGCCGTCGCGCCTGTTTCATGCTATTACAAAATTATATAGTAATCACACTGGACATATTTAGCGATTTACGTATTAATTCCGCGCGATGAACGCCTGTTTTTTTCATCATAAAATGGTTTTGACCCGGAAATAATTTCCTGGAGTGGAATTTTTACATCCCAGTAGCGAGAAAATAAAGTTCACAGAATTTTCTTTACTGACGAAAACCCACATTTTATTTAATTTCTTTCTACTCTTTTTAAAGAAAATATTGAACAAATTTACATAATGATCTTAAATACTATAAATTTTAATAAAATAATAATCAATATATGTAATTAATAATTACTTTTAATTGAGGTGTAAAAAAACACCCCAGATGAGTTTATGCGAAGAAATCAGGTAATTATATTCTTGGATTAAAAATATAAGATGTTATAGTCCCAAGTAGCACAGTAGCGTTTGTAAAGCGCTAAAAAAGTGATTATATGCGCTTCTTTAGCGCTTTGTAAGCGCTATGTGCTACTTGGGCTGTATTAATTTACGAAACGTGATGACGTCATTATTTACGATTGTTATAACTATCAACCAGACGCATCGATACATTACTCCGTCCCTCGCCGAATTGGGAGAGTTGCCATACAAGCACAAGCATATTCTCATGTTGACACGCATACCCGGTGCGGGTGGCGAGTTGATGGTGCTGATCTTGCAGCGATTACAAGGATACAATGCTTTCAAACATATACGTCTGCCGCCGGGCGACAACGGGCTTTTGTCAAGTTCACAGCAGGTTCGAGAACAAATTCTCCCTGACTTTTACTCAAGACTCGATTAATTGTTTTTGCAAATAATTTAATAATTTTTATTTATAATATTTCACAAAAGAGTTTTTCAGAGGTCGTAACTTAATTTATATCGCAAACCATAAGAAACTTTTGATTTAACAGGAATTGTTGATAGAAGAGATTACGAGTATCATCAGACAAGAAGCTATTCCCTTAACTTTCGATGGGGATGTAAGGTTCCTAAATTTCTCGGAATTTGGACGGCAAGGACCTACCTTTATATCTTTAGTGAGAGATCCCTTGGATCTACGAATTTGGGAAAAGTATATTTTTCTACCTATTATTATGGGGTGAAGAAGGGAGAAAAGGGGTAGAGGAAAGAAAATATTAGGAAGACAACGAATTTTCTATATTAAAATAATCATATTTTGTCATGATTCAGGTATAAAAAAGGAGAGAAAGGGATGCATTATTATGGAATTATACCTTATTTTTGTGGACAGGATCCGCGTTGTGTGTAAGTATTTTTATTGATCTAATTTTCTTTAAGTCATCCGAATAATCATCTGAAGAGTGAATTTGACATCCTAATTAAGAGTAATCATTATTAATTATGTATGTGCGTACATTGTATATTATATATAATTCTACAATTTATATTATTAATATATTATATTATATTTTAACTATAATTTATTAATATATTTGAGATTATCGTGATAGATTTACTCACAAAATATTTTCTAAAAAAACATAAAAGAAATTTAAAAAATAGATATGGGTTTCTCAATCTGTAAATAAAACTATTGTGAGCTTTATTTTTTTATTAGGGTGCAAAAATCATCCCAGGTGATTATTCTCGAATAAATTCAAATAAATCTCATTGCGTATAATTTTACGTAACACTTTATTGCATATCGAGTAGGCATTTCTGTTACTTTAGCTGGACGCCAAGCAAGAATATTTTTATGAAAAAAAATATGAAGTAGTTGGTATTGATTTTTATGCTACGTACGTGTTTTCCCTAGGGAACAAAATAAAACGTGGGCAATGGAGCGAGCTAAAGCAAATGTTATTCGATGGTATCCTGTTGTTGGTATATTAGATTACATGGAGGAGACACTAAACGCGTTTGCAGGTGAATTTCCCTATTTTTTTAAGGATGCTATCCGTGTCTATGATCATTTCCGTAAGTACTCGTATAAATATTTATCGATCTATATACCTATATATTTTAAACTTATCAATTGAGCGTTTCGTCATTCTTTATACCCGTGTCTTATATGTTTCTGTTTATATACAGGACCAAAAGAGAAGCATCCGGCCATTTCTTCGGCAACTTCAAGGCTACGAATCAAAGACGCAGCCTTGAGAAAAGTGCTTGCACAAGAGGTAGAATTTTATCAATGGCTGAAATCTCGACTTCTCAATAAAACATTCAACAATGGATGAAAATACTATCCGATGAAGATAGATATAAATCAACTGCAATTAAATAAATCTTAAATAACAATCGTGATAAATTTTCCGCGTTAAAAGGAAATTAAAACGAAAAAAAAATTTTTAAAGTCTCTTATGATTTCGTAATTATTATACCAAAGAAACAAATGTGAACTTTTCGTGCCATCTAGAGGTTGATTCTGTAAACACATAAACCATCCTACGTAGAGGATAAAATCGTTGGCGACTAAGTTTTACGTGTGCAATTTTTTATCGATTGTAGCGCATCTTGTCAGAATAATTAATTATTAATGTTACTACAACTAGCAATAGAGCGCATTCGCAAATGACGAAGCCGCTACAATCCTTTTACGTCAATGTAGTTTAATATTTGTAGAATAAATACAGAAGAGTACAAAGAAATGCTTTACGTACATGTCGACCCCTTTCTTTTCATTCTCTTTTCCTTTCTCTGTCAGCACATTTTCACAAAGATAAAAAGTGAAAAATAATATAGATAAAATGCGATCTACATAATCTAATTATGTACACGAAAATAAATGTGAAAATGCTACCTCTTTCTTTTGCATAGACAATATTGTTCTTTATAAAAAAAATTACATGTGTACATTCGAATTGTTCTCTACGCACAATTTGGAACAAGAAGAATATTGGATTATTCCAATACAACGTTTTTTTTTTTGCAAACGCATCATGAGCACGATTAATTTTTATAGATTCCGTGGAATCAAAATATAAAAATAATTATCATTATCGATCATCACATTAGCGTGTATACATGCTTATCGTGAATGAAAAAGTCAGGGAGGATCGGGAAGCGAGTTGGATTGATTAACGCGAGGATGATGCATGCAACAGGATAACAGAATCATGTTGATGTACAGATGGACCAGCAACAACATGAGAAACGCGTGCCATCACTTCTTCTTCGCGTCTTTTAATCCAGCGCCTGCGTTGAATTTGAAGAAAATAATATCGCCATCCTCGACTACATAATTACGTCCTTGCTGTCTGTACTTTCCGGCGGCCTAACAACAAAATAAAACGTATGTAAAAGTAGGAAATGTGTGTCACATATCGTTTAATATAAAAATTATAATTATAATTCAAATACTTTTACTGCTGCTTCCGAGCCCTCGTTCTTGAAATCTTCGAATTTCATCACTTCTGCCATGATAAATCCTTTTTCAAAATCTGTATGTATTTTTCCCGCAGCTTGAGGCGCTTTTGTACCTTTCTGTAAAACATAAAAAAACATATTTCTATATTATAAACATTAAAATGCATTAATAAACGGTAAATTAATAAAAATAAAATTTATGCTAGTTACGTTAGTATAATAAAAGGATAAGAGATATATAAAAAATATATAATACATATTTTTCTTATTATCATTAATGTTATTTAATATATAATTTTTCCATTAATATAATTATGAAATTTTCTAAATGTAAATTAATTTTTATTTAACTTTATTGCTATGAATTCTATATTTACCTGAATTGTCCACGCCTTGACTTCATCGTGACCAGACGTGAAAAAATATTGCAGCTGTAACGCCTTGTATCCTTGTACAATGATTTTATCGAGTGCACTATACAGAGAAAAGAAACGTACAATAAATAAATGTGTTTCTTTACTGAGACTAGGATAGGTGTCTGCTATATACCGAACACGACGAGGTGTAAGTTTCTTACTTTCCGCGAATCACGAAAAAATGAGGCGCGTCCGCGGTCAAAGCGGGAAGTGTCCAAGTTGTGGAATAAGATTGTCTCGGGCCAAATATCGTCTAATAACGGGTTAGCGCAAGTGGAGCCGTCCAACGCGCGGTGGGCCTGACGAAAGTCTGAGAGTTCAAAGAATACACATAAAGCCGAACGACTTAATACCGCAATTTTATCATTTCGACTCCAGTCGGGGACCTATTTCCCGGCGCCCTCAGTTATCTGCGGTCTCGAAATAAAATCATGGTATCTTTCGTCCCTTCGTTTGTATTCCCCGATCATTAGGCAAACTTGGGGAGTATCGTGGACTTTGCCTTCTATTTCCTAACTTACTAGCTGTGAGAGAAAGTTCAGAAAATATTATATAATGAATGTCGCGGGAAATACCAAACGTTCCTCGCTCACCACTATTTCATTTAAATATTTTCCCAACATCCGCCTCTCTTTTTCGCTTATTAAAGTACTTTCTGGCGTATCGAATCGGATTTAATTCAATGTTGTTCAATGCCCTAATTGAGTCTCCGACTCATAATTATAACTGTACCGTACAGCTCGATTAAAATTCATTCTGACAGATAAAAAAAAAAGAGAGAGAGAGAGATCGTGATGCAAGTCTGTATATGCGTATACCACGTACAACGTACCGCCCTGGGGTACGAATGACCCGCTAACCAATCGAATTGCCGAACCCCCGCCGATTACTTCTCGCTCCACCCACCCTCCTCGATTATACCGGCGTGCCCGCGAGGGCGGGAGGGGTTTTTATGCAATTTTGCAAGAATTTGAATAGCCGTTCGTAAAAACATAATGCGCCGCGACCGTGCCGGCTACGGTTTTTATTAGCCGTCCCACGTGGTGAGAGTGGGACAGGGGTCTAGACGCCGAGCCGACCGTGCCCACCATCATTATTACCGTTAGAGAATAACTCGGTGCATAGCTAAATGTGGGAACTCCCCAAACTCGGTCGAAGGAGATGCGTCCGCAGCGCGATTTTACGAACGTCCGACCTTCTTTTCCCTGCAATCTTGCGGCGCTTCGTCGCCAACCGGCAACGAGCGACGCGCGTATGCGAGAACCACACTACCGAATTTCTCTAAGTTTTAAAGGCGGTGGTAAACGACGCGGAGCCCCGAGCCGTACCCCCTTATTTGCGAGCGCGACACAGCAACATTTAGAGGGTAAAAGTAATAATAATCGTTATAACGGACCGGAGGAGGCCGAGAGATACCAACCTGGTGACTTTGTGTTCCTCGAAGTATTTTGCGCGCTCCGCCTCGTCCATATCGAGAATCTTGTTTTCGCAGACGCCGCTGAAAGGAATTAACACCGCGCCCGGATCGTTCTTGTCGACCCATTCTTTTATCTTGATTAACCTGTTACAAAGAATAACGAGAGATATAATGAACTGGGAGAGATACTAGTTCAATCGTCCATTATATCGCATACCATTTGTTCTTCTTGCGTATATAATCCTTTTCCGACAGGTTTACCAAATAGATGATCGGCTTTGACGTAAGAAACAGATACTTGTTCAACACCTCGATCTAAAAATTCATCAAGTGTAAAATTCTTTTAACCTTTCAGTGCTACTCTTAGTATGGCATATCCGATTTTGTTGTTCCTAGATAGTTTTTCGAAATTTTCGTTTACTATATAGAACTTTTTTCATTTTTATTAATAAAGATATACAATATAATTACTTGATATCATTGTATTCCTTAATGAATGGCATTTTGATTGAAAAAAAATTTGTTGCAATATGTTCGCGCGCTTTTATATACATTTTTATAAAAATTATAAGCACACACACAAAGTTGGATTGAATTAATATGCCATACACAGCATGTTACACTCATGATAAAATATAATGGGGGATTGAAGGGTTAAATCACGATAAAACGTATTATATACAAATGTAAAATGTTTAAACTCACATCATTGGCACTCCAATCGGCGAACCTGATGTGTTTTTTCTCGTCCGTCAAGACACCCTTTACTTTTAGAAGCGTATCCTACAACAGATTGAAAAATTCCACTTAATCCCGAAATTCACTCCTGTTGCGTAACGGCCTTATTTCTCGACAATCAAATGTAACGACTTCGACATTCATCGATCTCGCCAGACATTCAGATGCACGAACGTGGGCCATCGAGTAGGATAATTTCGCGATCGAATCGTGATTAGAGGATCGTGCTGGACTAGTCGAGCGCGCGGTCCCATTAGCTTTGCCGAGAGAAAGAGAAAGAAAGAGAGAGAGAGAGAGAAACGACGAAAAGGTAGCTTCGAATTCTCGAAAACTTTTGCCAAATTGCAAAGTCGAGAACGAGGGGAAGATCGGTAATTACCGTGGGTCAATCCGCGGAAGGAGGGTAAATCCGACGATCGACTCGTTCCAGGAAGCCTCGTTTCGCCCGCGTTCTCTTAATTTCCTCGATAATTTCGTAGCTGGCCTGACAAAAGGGGCTGCAACTCGCTAGACGTCTTGCGCCGCGTATGAACATCAAGCGAGGGAAAAACGCAAGAAAATTCCTTAGACTCTCGTGACGAAAAGTAGTTCGGTAAAATCGATTAGACGTAAGATCGATTTCATGTTTACAAATGATTGATATTTTTCGTTATATATAAAAATACGCACCTGCCACATATCAAAGTCGATTTCGTGATTTCGTATATAAATTCATAGAAAAGATCCGGCATGATTCTCATCAGAAATAACTTCTGACAAAATTGACTGATTCTCTGCAACTTTGTTTTATTTTATAGTTATGAAGTGAATGAATGGAACCAAGTTTGTATTATATTATTTTTAAAACGTGTTCTCTTGAAAAAATGCTATTATTTTTCTTCATTCTAATATTTTTAGGATATTTAATTGATTGAAAAACGTAAAAAGTAATCACCAGATACATATAAGATTCATGACACTTTAAACTTTCTATTACCTGTAGAAGGCAGACGGTTTACTTGCATTGTGACAATATTAACTTTTGATCGGAATCACAAAAACATAAACTGTAAAATAAAAAGCAAAGTTACAGCTAATTTCGTCGAAAGAAAAATAAACGGTCGAGTGAATCGAATGTGCGATTACGTGATTTGCATTCTACATGCGATATCACTAGATAGTTTACAGGAAGTGATTTTGCAAGCTACTTACTTACTGTCTATTGTATTTTTATGTTTTGTTAACTATATTCTATTGTATCACATGTCACGTCTATTATTCTGTTAATATGTATTCTTTTCACATAGCTTTGCAATAAACTACATTAAATTAAATTAAATGTATATACAGTACCCTCCATAAGTTTGGGAGCAACCTACGTTTTACAGAAAAGCCCCGAAGAAACATATTTCGTACGAATCGCATTTTAATTAAAATTCCATATTTTAATAGCATGCTATTAAATCTTTAATTGAAAAAAGACGAAATAAAAGTACATACATACATACGTTATAGCGTACGTATGTACTTCATTTCGTCTTTTTTAAATTAAATAATTATTTGCAAATCTGTAAAACGTAGGGTGTTCTCAAACTTATGGAGGGTACTGTAAGTATGTATTTATTTACACATTGATGGAATTACATAGTTGGACGTTATCACCGTTGAATGGTATTTTTCGAAATGTTTCCATTATCCTACGAAACTATCACGACAGTTTAACACAACGTATGTATGCCACTGCATAGCGAAAATGTATAAGTTACACATTGTACGTTATAGTAATGAATGTTATGCCGATAAAGTTTAATCGAGAATATATTCTTTGCTTCTTGTTTTTTTTTATCATTTGTTTATCTCTTGCCTTTTTGCCTTTTATTCTGTTTCTTCGTTTCCTATAGTTCAAGATAAAAGTTGACAAATTTCAGACATATAAAAAACACGTGATAAGAAACACGATTGTTAATAAAACGGTCACAAAGAGGAAAAAAGACCAGAGGTAAAAAGCGAAAAACAGGAAGAGCACTATAAGAGCATTGCAAATTAGGTTTAACTCCGTAATAATGACAAATAAAGACAATGGTTGCATTCAGTAAAAAAAGTTGCTTTGCACACGCACACAACTGTTGTACAATTATTTAATAAATTAGTTTATACATTTAGATCCAATGAGGAACTAAAGGCAAATTCGATCATGTTAAAGAATCTTACAATAGTTACAAAGTTGCTTTTTCCGCTGAACGCAACCATTTTTAGCAGATATAGAATTTCCGTAGAAATTTGCTGCTCTTTTGAAAATCTATTTTTACACGAACAAAGCGTGTTTCTCCATTTAAAGAATCTATTCTACTGAAACGTAATGATCAAATACTCACGTATTCAGGTTTCAGCTTCTTATCATTACCGCGTATCACAAGCTTCTCGAGTTTCTCGAGGTGGACGTTCAAGAATTCCACGTCCTTCAGTCGTAACTCTTCGCTAATGATATCAAGGTCTCTTACGGGGTTGACGTCACCCTCCACGTGGGTCACATCGTCGTCCTCGAAGGCACCTAATAAAGTACAAGTAAACAGATCTCTCGCGCCAAGCCAGGAAACGTAATCTCGGAATTGGGGCTGCACTTATGTTCGTACTTATGTAACGCCTCAACACAAGGCTCGCATGTCGACTGTTTAAACGAGCCACCGCCACCGCCATTGCCACGCGAAGATTGCCAGGTTGGTTTAATTGAAAAAATTACCACCTGTCAGCGGCCTGGCAAGGCGTATTAACCAGCAGAACTACCTCGAAATGTTATTTTCAGTACGAGAATATAATATATATCTAACGATCATTCTCTCAAAGGAATCAGCAGTCGTTTAATGAATTATTACGTGTTGTACATTATCGCGATGTAAAGTACAACATAGATCTTGTGGCTTTCGTAGGTATGAGAAATATCGCATGCCGTTAATTTTATTGACAATTATGTGTCTCTTCATGAACATTATGACAAATTTATTTTTCCACTTGGTAATATTTACATTCTACGGGGAAATACTGTAGTAATGACTACAACAAGTTTTTGTTATGTACTGGAATGTACTGATATTATAACGGAAAATATGATATTTTTATTCAAGGATGTTTTATGTTTTATGAATAAGAGACTTATTCAAATATCGTAAAAATATCGTAATATATACAATTTCAAGCGATTGAATTCCATCAAAAAGAAGTTTTACAACATGAGTACAGTGATTTTATATAAACTGTTTTATCATGCAGTTAAAAGTTACAATATCAACGCAGTAATTTTTTAGATAAAAATTTAATTAATTGTGTCATTATATTTAAAAATTTTTATACATATAACAATTTAAAATATCTACATAATTTGTCGCAATGTGCATTGTAATTTTATTAATGTGATTAATCGAAATGCATATATATAATTGATTATCAATCATTATAGTAATAAAACTAATAAATACTTTGTCATTATATTTTAGTTTAACAACATACTCAAAAGGAGATATAATAATTTATATTATTTTCCCTACATATTTTGATTATGATAAATATTTAAAAATTATATGTTACTTACACAGATGTTTGCTAATCAATTAAGTTCTTCAGTTTCTCAAACAGAGTTTCTTTAAAAATTTGAAATTTTAAAATAGTTAATTAAAGTCCACATTAAATATGCGTTAATAATCAAACATGCGTTCTATAAAAAAAATTGAGATCTTTTAAAATTATATACCTTGTTACTGTAATTTCTTGTTATTTATGTGTGCGATAGACACATCCACAACGGTAGGTGCAAGTTGATCGATCTGGATTATCGCAAGGGACAATAATGTAATGTGTTTCCAAGAAGATAGTTAAACCATCAACACATGTTCGTAATGCCAACAAGGTATACATGTGTGTCGTAAAAATAAGTTTGCAATCGCGATTGCACGATCAACGGGCGCAAAGTAAATATCGCTCGAGATCAATCTCTCGATCTCATCGACAAAAATTTCCTTCTTTCGCCGTAATCGCTATTGTTGCGATTCCGCGTTTGATAAGGTTCTGTGAAAGTATCTTCCTAGCGATTTATTTATTTATTGCGCATGTCAGTGCGAAACGATTAAAATGTTATTAATAACGGAAACAAAAATAAATAAATATTGGAACAAAGGTAGTAACAAACGGCGACATTTTCAATGGTAGCATACTTACGACAGAGATGAAAAATGCCATCGCAAGCTCCGATGTGTGAGAGAAAACTGTTTCCTAAACCTTGTCCCTCGGAGGCACCTTTCACCAGTCCAGCAATATCCATTACGTGCAAGAAGGCTGGAACTTTACTGGAAATCCGAATTTCTAATTACTATTATCAGATAAAGATAAATGTCGAGAACAGCATAAAAATGCATCCTTTTAATCATAGTTATAATCATAGTTATTAGCTATAAATTCGTCAAAGTCTAGTCCTATATTTATCAATAAATAACTGTAATTTCGATTTAATTTACTCTTTATTGTGTCATTACATTTCAAAATTTTAATCTATCTATAACACGGCTTCAAATATCTGTATAACTTTTTGCAATGTGCATCATAATTTATTTGTTAATTCAGAAAAAAAACGCGGTCTTGAAATACTACCCCATGTAGATTATACCTACTTCAACTTGTGCCCGTTTTTATCAGTGTAGATTAATTTTAATTTAACTTTCTGTTTATCTTTTTCTAATTCTTAGAACTAGAAATTCTAATTCTTAAAACTAGAAGTTCTAAGAATTAGAAAAAGATAAAAAGTAAGTTAAATCAAGATTAAAATTAATCTATATTGGTAGAAACGGGCATAAATCGAAATGGTGTGTTACACGGGGATAGTATTTCGAGAACGCAGCTTGTCGCGTACGCTGATTTCAACGGAGGTCATTGATGATCGCGAATTAAAGGTCGAAGGCATTTACCGCGTGATGCACGCGCGCAGAATGGAAATAGGGGAGGGACGACAGTGACAACGAGGTGTATTTAAATGCTAATGCCAACGGGCTCATTAAACAATTAGCCTTTGAAGGGAGGCGTCGGTGAAAGTGGACGAACTGATGAACAGAGACGGAGGGGGGAGGGATGGTGTATTAGCCGGCTTTCATCACGGATCGTCGAATCATCCGACACGTGCCGACAGTCGGGGTTGTCCGATACATAGACGATGAGGACGTAACGATAATAGGGTGGACTAGAGGGCCCCGATGAATCGGCCGCTCTTTGATCCGACGCTGTTTCGCATTTTCAATGCTTCGATTCCTATCGAATCTGGCGCAAGACAAGCGCGTTTCACATTTAGGCATCAGCTCAGTATGAAACCGAGCGAGGAGAAAGCGTAGATAGCTTATCCAAAAGGAACATCATATTATTGAAATATAGTCAGGAACTTTCGTAAACTTCGTCCGCACCTTCGTAAATAAATTTATAATTAAAGACATTTTATTTTTAATATTTTAATAAAGTAATCCAAACTTCGAAACAAATTTATTTAAAATATAAATGGATCTATACGGAAAAAATTTTATATTAAGTTTTAATATAATTTTAAATTACACTTTACTATGTCTTGAATTTTCGTATGGACCCTCACAACATAATTCCAACTTAACTTTTACTATGGTAATACTAATTTTTATCACATAAATAAAGTAATTATTATGTTAAGCTATATTCTAACATAAAAACAATTAATTTTTACTATGGTACGCAAACAAAATTTGCTAGGTATATATTTTTTACTTATCTTTACTCTTTACAATACTAACTTTCACTCAACAAGATTTGATTTTGTAATAAAAAATTTTACTATAAAATTTGCTATAAAAAAAGTATAAAAATTACGTTGTATTATTGTTTTTAAAAAAATGATTATAGCATTTAAACTTATGATTTACATGAAGACCGCAGCTACTACCACATTATAGTAATTTTAAATATAAAATTTTTTCCGTGTATAAAATATTCCATAACAATTCAAATTGTCCATATTTCTCTATTAATAAGAAAGTCTTTTCTTTTGACCACTCCATCGGGACCATTCACGTCGGGAATGCAAACTGAGAAAAGTGCGTTGATGTTAATGGCGGCGTTTGAACACCGTTCACACTGTATGCTGTCTTCTTTGCAACGACATTCGCGACATTTTGTTATATAAGGGCCATGGCACACAAAAAAACTTAAACAGTAAAGAAATCAACATGTTGGATTGGCTACTGCTTACGGTCTCTAATTTGATTGGCCAATTCGCTTACTGCTTAAGTTTTTTGTATGCCATGGCACTAAGTCTGTACCCGGCTTTAAGATTGCCACATCACGTGCTGAAGCGAATAAAGAAACGTAACGTCGACGAACGAGGACGTTTCACGTTTCGTAGACGAATTTAGACCAATCTGCATTGCAGATCGCCCCTCGCTCCCTTCCAACTCCCTCGTCTTTCTCCAGGAATAAAAGTGAACAAGTATGGAAATGTCCCCCGTTATTCCGACTCGTTTCCCTTCACGAGGGTGCATCTTTACTCGGCACTATATGCTTCCATTCTGTTGTACACATTTACCCTACGTTACGTTCAATGTACTTTAGGAACATTTCTCGCTGTTTCTTACCTAGCCGGTTTAAAATATTCGCAGAGGTAGTCGTATCTCGCGTCAGGCACCGGAACGCGACGTGCTGAAAAAAAGAATTGAATAGCTTGAATTCTTGACGATGTAAAAATGATTAACTCTGTGAAGCTGACGGTGGATCTATTGAACTCACTCAATAATAAATCTTTTTATTAAAAATGGCAAACAATTCAATTTTCAGTATGTTTATTGAGAGAAAAAAATAGTTGCCATATTGCTATAATTTAAATATAATTGTTTGAGACATATGTATTTATAGTTTATAGTATATTGTTTTAACCACTATAGTATAGTCGATTGTGCTGTTAAATAATTAATATACACTGCTTCAAAATCTGTAGTTTTTTCTTAATATATTTTTTAGTTATTATTACAATACTAATGCTCGAGAATAAAAAAATCCATATCATCGTCAATATTCTAAATCAATCTATTAATATTAACTATGATTAGTAAGTTTGTTGGTACTGACAATATTATTAACTAAAGTCAGTATTACAGATCCAGTGTCAATAACTGTTATAAATTTTGGCGTCAGCTTCGAAGAGTTAACAATGTTTCATAGATCATATACTCATAACTTATTGTTAAATAAACGTGTCCATGCAACGTATAAGGAATATTTAACAGGATTATTTTGGTACAGATACATATGGATTAGTCTTTTTCATGGTGTCAGTAACGATCTCTACAATTCTGTTTCGTCCATCGAGTCGCTTGCACGCGGTCTTGTAAATATCCATCTCGGTCAAGTTTTCGGTCACGTTGTGCGTCTTCAAGTAAACGCCGATGTAAATCGCGGCGCTGACAGCCGCCGACAAGCCGAATATCTTTGGACGTCGGGCGCCGACCAGAGTTACAGCTTTGACCAACATTTTCGCCACTGTTTGCTCCAGGAAAGCCACGTCCGACAAACGTTGCTCTTCGATCGGCGGAAGTTCGCGAGGAAACGCAATATCCATTTCAGAGTATTTATTGTGCTGCGCGAGAAACTTTTCGCGACATTCTTCGCTGCAGAAGAGATATACTTTATCCTTAAGGATGGCACCCAAATCGACTTTGCCTGGTGTTAGCTTGCGATTCGGCAGGCTGTCGACATAAGTTACCAGACACAGCCCGCCGACCTGGAGACGTTGAGCCCAACAAGCATGCTCCACGTCGACTGTCTCCTGCAACATCCGAGGTCGTTCATCGACAAGAGACGCAGTAACAGGTGAAAGGTAATACAATGGATCTTTAACGAAGGCGTTTATATGTTGCGGACAAATCCAATAAAAATATTCCCTAAATTGGACCATTCCTTGACTGGTTACAAATTGGCCAGAAGTTTTCAAGATGTTTTCGCGAAACAAGCAAACGGGACAGTACGATTCGTATCGACTCTGAAGCAATCGAAACTCGTACGGTAATACGCACATTTGCTTCAAACTGTGAACCTTATCCAAGTTTGCCTCATAAAAGTAAAGCATGATATTAGTAAATCGTGAGCATACCGCGTGATCTACGCGAGTCCACACATGCCACTTACTCTTAGTAGCATTCAATTCGATTACGTTCTGCCAGAGCCTTTTTAGCCAGTCTCGAAAACTCGCTTGGCCCGTTTGCCAATCCTTGTAACGTCGCGACAGAAAACTGGCGGAGAAATTCAATGGACTTCTGGTATCATCATTATCCCAAGACAGACACTCGAGGCAGAACTCTATATCCGCTTTGAAATCAAGCACAATCATTGGCTGTATTCCTAAAACAACTAGTTGCTCGGTTTCCTTACGATTTGATGGACAATCATCCAGAATATAACCTTGAGTTACAGCGCGTGTTCCTATAGATAACATTTCGATGGCACGTGCTACAGATTCGATCGAAGCAGCCTGACCAGCTCGAAGTTGGTCTTCGATGATACGCGCCGACTCGGTCCAAGGATAGTATTTCAATATGTGGCGCAACGCCTTGCCGCGAGTGATTACCTTCAAGCCATATGTTTTTGAGAAACGATTCGCCAAAGTTGTTTTTCCGCATTTCGGCGGTCCGATGATGGAAATTCGAAGCGGAAGAAGCGGCGGATGGACATCTTGCACGAGATACTTCGACGGATTATTTAGAAATGCCGAGAGCGCTTCTTCGCCCGCAAGGAAATAAATATATGGGCGGTACACAACTGGAAAAATCTGACCACGAGTTTTCATCGGCAGAAACATTTGAATTGATATCGTATTGGTGTAGAGTTGCACGGGACACCATCGACCGAAGGAACTGAGGAAATAGTAACCACAATCGAGAAGTCGTTCGGCTGTGACAATATCGATGGTGCACGTGAGATTTTTTTCTTCCTTTTCTTCAATATTTTTATCAGCTAAATTTGCTTCGTTTTCGACTGCTGTTTCGGTCAATATTTCATTCTCTTTATTTTTTTTTTCGACATTCCTAGCAATAGTTGCAAAATCGAAACGAAATTTAATATGATTTATCGCATATTCCATTATATCTTCGATATTCGCGAGATTACACTTTATTATATTTCCTTTAAATTCAGAAATTTGTTCCTCGAATTTCGTCCACTCCGATTCGAATTGCGTTAAATGTTCAAGATATTCCCATTCTGCATCTTCATGTAATACTATTTGTTCTTCATAATCTGCCTCTTCATTTGTAGAATCATCAAGATGAGAAAAAGTGCGAAATTTATTCAATAAGTAGATATACGGCTCTTCTTCAAACAAAACGATAACGTCTTCAAAAATGATGTTAGCTTCGTCAACAATTTTTCGCCAAACTTCGACATCTATGCACATTCCATCGATAACATATCCACCATCTCTTCGAAGCTCCTCTTCTAACTTTTCATCTGGTATTCGCTTGATGTTCTGTATAATAATATCAGCCTTTTCATCAACCGATATGTCGATAGGCTTCAGCGAGACTTGTTCTACATTTGAATCGTTCTTATAAAACTCTTGAATTGCATACTTTTCGCGTTGTTTAACTAATTCTTTTATAATCTTATCAACATTTATCACGGCTCCGCCGAAAACCTCCGCCAATCTTATGCTAAATTCTGATTTACCAGCGTATTTTGGCCCAAACACTGCTATCTTGCAGGTTGGCCGCGGATTCGGTGGTAATAAAAAAGTTCTCGGATTTTCGATGAACAAATTTGTAGCTCCTTGAGAAGAGAGAAAAAAGATCATGTCCAAGAATCGCACCGCGTGCTTCGGGAGTCCCTTAACGGTTCGTCCTTGTGCTAACTCGACAGGGCAGTAAAACTTCCACGCGGAAAGTCTCCAGGGGAATCTGAGAGATACAACTTCTTTTAGTCTTAAATTCTCGAAAGCCTCTTTAGCAGATTCTTTTGCGAGCTCATCGCTCAAGTTCATTTCTGAAGATGTTCCAAGAAAACGTGCGTTATTCTGTTCGATCATTCCTTTTGGAAGAATCGATGGCAGTAATGCCAAAGTACGCAAACGCGTTTTGAGTATGTGAAGTATTCGTCGCACGGAGCTACGGCCATCCACGCGGACTACATGCTGGGGATTATGGGCGAGAATCCATTTATCGATTACTGGCAACGCCAAACGTTCGTAAAGATCACACTGTGTCTTAACATTGCGTGTTATGTCAGATATTAGTTTCACCAATCTTTGATCATTTACGGCCAATTGTTTGTTTGTAATTTGGAAGAAATCAAACGAGGTGTCCGATTCGTCGTGTTCGGATTCGGATAGTTGCATCACGAATTCGTTTTCATCAAAAATATCGCCTGTCAGATAGTTTATGCGCCGCCGCGCGCACTTACTAGCAACATCTTGCTTCGGACACATAAGATAAATAATTATCAAAGGTTTTCTTGGCCATATGGTAAATATTTCGTCGATCTGTCGAGGGACGTCTTGTTCGTAATCAAATTGCATCTTACAACCTAAACTATCGAAGCGATCTTTATGTGTCTCGTGCGGTTCAATCGTCGTATTTTCGCAAAATTCTGGGTAAATGTCATCTATATTCAAAACAGGACTGGAACATGATGGATAATTAAAGCTTACATCGTTAGAGATAAACGGTAAACAGCCAATGACGTAACCTCTGTGTTTGACATCCCTTGTCCTGACTCTGCAACGTATCAAGTTCATAAGAATTTCCGGTCCTACAGATCTACCGAGCCGCAAAATTCTTTCCAAGTATTGGCCTTGGTCAGTACCAGCATCGATCTCTTTTTGAATTAGCGACGTGGGCGAAAGTAAAACACAGTTCCAAGTATCGGCTATCGCCGATGCAATGTTGGCATGATCTAATCCAGGTTTCCCAAAAATAACGAAACTCGGTGGATCGGTTCTAAGATAATGATTTACAGCTTCGTCTTTCGAATAAAGATCCTGATTTGTAAAGTGTTCTTTGCGAGATACAGGTTGTGGTAAAAGCTTTTCCTTTTCAAAAAACTTAGAAGCGGTGACAATCCTTTTCATCGGATGTACATCCTCAGCAAAAGCGTAATATAAATTAGCCTTTGGATATACAATTGAGGAGGATACATGTGCAGAAATCTTTTGAGAATCTTCAATTAATTGTAGAAAGCCTCTTTTTTTCTTAAACGATTCATCAATAAAAACTCTTTCAGCATGATTCTCCCTGGGCTTTTCTAAACGTCTGTCACACATTTTTGTGTAATTAAAGTAACTTATATCGACGATTTTAATTTCAGTTCAATGTTTGTCACATAGCTGTATATGCAAGTAAGGTTAAACAAACGAAGTCGAAATGATTTATATATGAGCTGTTTAAATTACCATTTTGCTTCATAAGATAAAGCGAGTTTTTAAATTCATCAATTACATTACGTGTTTTTAAATTCATCAAATCGCATTATGTGCACATGCAGATTACAGAGTCAAATTGCATTTGTGCATAATGCAATTGATCCATCGATGAAAAAACTCGCCTAAAGTATAATTTAAAATGGGGAATTCCAAGTTGATTATAATTATTAACTTTAATCGATATTCGCAATTCCAGTCCGCACATTTTCTTCAACATACATTGTGAAAAATTGTTTAAAATAAATGCTTTCCACAATTTTATATAAGTTCCAATTATATAATCTTGTTTCTAAAATTTTTACTTTTAAAATGAAAAAGAAATTATTCAATTACGTTAACTTTAAGCAAAGATACGTTAATTTACAGTAGACTAAATCTGCAAATATCAATTAATGAGGATTAATAAGATGAAAAAAATAGTTATCAATAGACAACTTAATTATATTTTAGCAATATAATAACGTTGTAGAGACAGGAAAGAAGGATTGAGGATATTCGAGGCTTAAATTCTAATAATTTCGTTTAAAATTCACACAAGTACATCAAGATACTTATTTTCATTGGGATCGATGGTGCAGAAGGGGAAATTCTCGGCCGCTGCTTGGCTCTTGGTGAGAACGTTGAAGAAAGTCGATTTTCCTACATTCGGAATCCCGACTATGCCCATTTTTAAATTAGTACCAACGCGACCGATAAGTGGCTTTCGCTCGGGTTCCTCGGGCTTCTTCGGAGCCATGCTGGACATACAAGACGTTAATTAATATGCCATCGGTACCCAAATTTTACAGCCGATGTTCTCTGTAAAATTTTGTGGAACGAGTGCCGCGTGCGAGGCATGGTACGCGCGGAGCATAATTGGCTAACAGCCGACAAGACAGTAACTTGGTCTGTCGCGTCGTAGACGTAGGATGCCCGAGGGTGCGCGTCGTCGATATACTGGCATCAACTGGCATCCCCCGAAATACTTAAGCGCGGCTGCGATATTTCGTGCGTGCGTGCGTGCGTGCGTGCGCCGCCCGGAGCGGAACTCGCAACTCGCAACTCGCAAGCAAGGAATCCGTTCCCCGGCATCGTTCTCTCGGAGCGCTCGCGGTGACTAATTATATTAATGCGGACGGCACATCGCGAGCGATTGCTGTATTTACCGCGAGATTGAGGCTCCCCCGTCCCGCCGGTATACAAGCGGGCCGCCGCGCTGTATCAAAGACCGAGGGAGGGCTGCGCGGGAGGAGGAATATGGCCGGGCGAGCGGGGGGACCTGGGATTACTGGGCACCAAAGCCGCGAATCACCGGCATCACGCCGAGAATCCGCAACCGCGCCCGAGGCCGCCAATCCGCCACCGTCTTCGCGGTTCCTGTTCCTCCTCTCTCCCCCACGCCTCGCCATCTTCCTCTCTTTCCACCCCTAGCGGTCTGCCTCTCCTCCCTGCCTCATCCCCCTTCGCCGTACTCGCGCGTTTCAACGCGAAACCACGGCGCCTCTCGTCGTTTTTCATCGCGGTCCCGGGGAAATTTGCAAATTACGATAATGGAGGAGCATCTCTCGAAGAAGCGTTCCGCCCGCGATGCTACTCGAGAGCTCAAGAAGAGCCCAGAGCTGCCTTGGCGCCGCGGCGTGACCGCCCCTCCCCTTTTACGACGTCGTCTCGCTTTTGCGGATCGCTAGACGCACACGGTTAATGGGCGATCCCGGAGACGCGCCCGCGCCGCACCACGCCGCCTCTGATCGAGATTGAACCTCTGCCCTCGAGGCCGCTGTTAATCGTGAAAAATCCGCAAAATGCTTTTACCGAGAAAAGACTCTCCTCAAAGAGTTCACATTGATAATGATATGCGAAAAATCATTATCGAGTATCTTAGTGCAAGGAGCTGCAACCTCATATTCCCCATAAACGCACAATATTCTTACAATGTTATATCAATATTATTCATCTTTTTCAATTTTCATATAACATTCGAAGAATATTATGTTTTATAGGGAAAATGCGCTGATGTGCTAGAAATTGATGCGCTAGAAAAATAATAATATTCATCGTTTCTATACAGAAAAAAAAATTTACTTGTTTCAAGTAAACACATTTTCTTGAACTATAATTTATTGATTGAAAGAGTTAATTACTTGCCACAATAAATTTGTTTTTTGTTCCAATAAAATATTATCCTGAAGCAAACAATTTATCAGTGAAGAAAATATTTTATTCTAATAAAAACACAATTACCTGTTGGTAGAAAATTGTTTCATTAAATCTAATAAATGTCATTATTTGAACCTGATTGTTGTTAATAAGAAAACATTTTTCTTAAATTTATGACATGAGTATTAGAAATAGTACATTGGTTACTTTTTATAAAATATAATTTTTATTTCATAAATCAATTTCTTGGTTACCAAAAATATTTATTAGTAACGAGAAAATTGTTTCATAAATTAATTAAATGCCTGCTAGGGACTATTTGAGAAAATTATTTTCTTGAATCAAATAATTTTTTCTTGAAACAAGTAAAATTTTTTTTCCGTGTAAGTAAATGCTGTAAAATTATATCTATTAAATCATATTAATATTTTTGCGTAGGTAAAAAGACAAAATATAATATTGTGTGTGTGTGTGTGCAAAAATTATTAAAATTGTCACTTTCGTATGTCTATTACACATAAAAAAAATCACTTTATTAATATATAAATCACTAAAAACATATTTTTATTAAATATTTTTCAAGTTTGATAAAAGAAATTCCAAACGATTTATATAGGTTCAGAAAAGATATTTTTTTCAGTTAAATTTTTTTTTAAAAGAGAACAAATTCTAGTGCTTAGCAATAAAAAATTAACATTTTCAATTATATTTCTTGTAGTTTGTGTTTATTATCTTATTTAATAAACATAATTCTGCATATTAATAAATATTTATTTTTCGTTAATATTATCATTAAAATTCAAATCATCCGGATAATTTGGATATCTTACTTAATGGGTAATCGAACAACTCGGTAAATTCATTATTTAAATGTTCGATTAATTAATCCGCATGTTTACAGTTCTTGAAACTTTTAACCGATCGTTTTAACATCGCCGCAGTGTATCGAGTAGAGTTCCTGTAATAAGAGTTAAGACAATAGGATAATTTATTTTTAATTAGTAGTATAAATACGATTTTAAATTGAAAGTTTACCCCCTCAGACCTGATTTTATTGGAACTATAAAAATGTTTTTTTAATTGAATTCATGCGTACTTAAACAAGTAATTCATACTAAACAATTAATTTTTTCAAAATTTTGATTATTTTTCCAACATATACATTATTATATGTATGTTATATCTCAGATGACGTTGAAAAAATTAAATAACTTGAACGAATAATATTTTCAAATTTGATGTACATTACGCTGTACAAAGAGTCTGACGGACCCAATACTGTATACATACATATATACATCAACATTTATCAGTTATATATTAACATAGCGGCGGTTTGTCTTAACTCAAATAGTGCGTTTGGGGAGACGCTATTAGCGCTACTTTTGTTATTCCATCTTTGTGTTTATTAGACGTAAAACAATTAGAGTAGAATGAAAGAAATAGCGCTAATATATATATATATATATATAGCGTCTCCCCGAACGCACCTTTATTACAAATAATTCTAGCCTCGAGTTGAAATGCGCGCCTCGCCGCTACGCGTAGCAGCGCCGTTAAACAGTGCTGCTGCATGACGGCCGGTAAGAGAAGCGATTGTCCGCACCGCACTGCAATAACTTAACCTTACCTCGCTACCGGAACGATCGCACGTCGACAGAACGTTATATCCTCGCAAATGAATTTCCACGACTTACAAGCGTTACGTCCATATTCTTCGCGTAGTATCGAAGCACCGCTGCGACGTGCTCGACACCATCTAACTCAGTACACCTGGCGATGTCTGCAATCTCTATCGCATATGCGTTTCCATCGAGTCGTGCCCGCGAATCAAAAACAGCGCGCCCGGCACTCGTTCCACAGGCAGCGTGCATCGCGTGGATCCTTCGAAAGATACCTCGTACGTCCGTTATGCGTTCGCAGTACCAATATCGCAGCACGATGCGTCGAATACGAGAGAGCGGCACGGCACGTAGACGACGTCACGGATTCGACCGGCCCCGCGGGTTACAGAGTTTCCACTTATCCGCTGAAACCGCGCAGTAAATTACCATGCCGCGCGATCGCTCCGTCGATGATGCAGTTTCGGGAAACAGAATCCCAAGATCCCTATTTCCATCTTTGCACGCTCATCTTTTCCCTTTGCGAACGCAACGATTGTTGTGTCTTTACATTAAACGCCAAAAAGAATAAATGGTAATTAATTATATTGTAAATATTGTTAAGTCGTGAAATCTAAATACGCCAATCGAAACTTTAATTTGAGAAGAGATTAGATCGAGTTTTTTTCGATAGAAGTATGCAATGAAGTTTGCCGATCATTAGTTAACAGCGAATTTGATTGGACGCATTCAGCGCACCGATGCACTCACATTAAAGCCGTCGTACACAAAATAACGTAAATATATCTCTAAATAAACATAGAAATCGATTAAATGATAATGAAATACTCGATACATTTATTGTACTATTAGGTAAAATATGTATTTCAATCGAAATATTTACATTTCATTTGTATACTCAAATCAGTGTAGAACGGATTTAATATGCACGCAGTGCGCATTAGCTTCCAAATCCAATTGAATCCGCCATTAGTTTTTTACGCTTGTAACCGCCATTTATCACGTTAATTGTATATCTTTCTGTTTTTCGCGAATTTCAGTCGAGTTTATGTCGATCGCTAGATTAATTATCAGTATAAGAATTTATATGTAACGTTAATGTAAATAAGTTTAAGAAACGTATGAGATAGGTATTCATAATACGTGATTGAATTGTAGCAATTTCCGTGAATTACAAGGTTATGACCACCATTAATCTCGGATCTTCACATCTTCCGCAAGATTTCTCCTGACGTTACATTGTCCTGGCTCATTGCAGTGTGAATCATGAATTGATTATTAGCTAAATTGGTGAGTATATTTATTCATCTTATATTTATAGTACCATTATTCTATTAAGGCACTAATCGAGAAGATACGGTTTTGGCAGGATTAATTTTTAGAAAAATTAATAATGTTCCATTGAGAATTCTATATAAGACAAATATAAAATAAAGCTTGCCAATTGAATTATTTAGTTTGAATCGACAATCGGAATCGGTTTACCACATCAACCATATCTTTTTTCTTTGGCGATATACAAGATTTTCCAAGGTTAAACCACAGCCAATTAGAAATATGAATATATAGGACCTTAAAACAAATAAAAATTTTTCTCTGAAAGTTTGCTCACAAATGTTTTGTTTAAGAAATTTTTTATAAGTTTTAAAACTATAGGAATGAATAATGTTGAAATAATCTAGGCATATCTTCTTTATTGCTTTACAATAATTAAAATGTAATTATTAAATCGTTGGCCGAGATAATATATTTCACAATAAAGTTCCTTACAGATTTTATGATGCATCTAATTAAATTGGAGAAATTATTAATATTTCAGGTTATATTGTGTTGAAAGTATAATCTGCATGCAGTCATACTTATGACTCTTATCTTACGAGATAAATTACATTTACATTTAAAGTACATATGTATGTATTATTTAACTTTGACAATATGTGGCGTTTCTTATATTTTAATTGACGTATTAAATGTTTGAACTAATGACCTCCAGTCCTGAAAAACAAGCATTACATTTATCAGTGAAAGAATGAGTGTCTAATATTATGTAATATGTGTTTGTAATTTTTTTACGCACTTGTATTATTGCTTTGGTTACAACTTACAATGTAAACAAAAGTTTATCAATAACCTTCAATTTTCAAAATAAAACATTTAAATTATTCTATAGTTTTATAACTCATGGAGTCTAGGCATTACTTGCTTGTAAAGCAAGTTTCTAGAGAAAAAGTTTGTTTTGTCTCTTAAATTTATATTTTTTATTTTAATTATTATATTCACATTATTATATTTTAAGTTTGGTGATTTAACTTGATAACATCCTGTATATTCAGCATTATCATATTGAGGCGCTAATTGAAAAATGCAGTTTTTCCAACAAAATTAATTTGTAGAAAAATCGGCCTTTTTGCCGAAATTTTCTTTGAAAGTTTGCTTGCGAACACTTCGTTTAATGCTAATTCTACAATGAGTCGATAGTCCTAATTGTAAGTCTTATCGCCAAAGTTGACCAATAGTCAACTTGTACAACTAATGCTGATTGACTGACTTCATTAATTAAGACTAATATTCGTATTCATAATTTTATAATTAAGTCTTCCTTTATCTTCAGATACTCTATGAATTGTTTCATTGACTACAAAGTCCCAATCTAAAGATAGATTTTAAGAAGCCTTAAGTACAAGATCTGACTAATGAACACGGGTATTTTAGATTTCCGACTATACATAATACATTGTAGAGAGAGAG